ACATTCTGAGGGACTGTGAACTGGCCCCCTGTTTAAAAAGTTTGAGGACCCCTGATCTAGATAATTGTTACTTCAATTCTTAAATTGTGATTCTTTATTGCTTGGTTACTCCACTGCACAAGAAAACAGTATTTTTGAAATTCCAGCTATGAAAATTGCATATTTTGTTTCAGCTTAGGGGAAATTCTTGGCTTATTGATAATTTTACTAAATTCTTTTTTATTTCTTGATAAATACCAAAATTATTATTTGTTCCAAATGCAGTTCTAATAAAGTAATCTATAAAAGTTTTTTTTTCCAACATTTCCCATTGTTTCTAAATAAAATGCAGTTTTTAATATTAACTTCATTTCATTGCCCTTTGTATAAACAGCAGTGAAAATGCCAAGATCTTTGAACCTGGAAATTCTGAGGAATGTTTAGAAAATAAAAAATTACCAGACCTTATGTCTCCAGGAACAGAGAGCACAGTTTTTAATAAATCCTTCAAACTAGGTAAGATTAAAATTTCAATGTATGTATAATTTATATTCAGAAATAAAATGCAAGATTGAAATACCACATTTTGATACCTTGTTCAGATGGGTTTGAACACTAGGTTTTCTTTGACAGAAAGTCCAGAAGAATTGCGTCCTAAAAGTGCTGTTGATGGTGAATCAAATGAATCCATATTTCTTCTCAGGTATGAAAAAATGTCTAGCACTTTAGAAAATGTTTATTTAGGAAGCTTGATTAACATTAAGCTTTCTTCTCCTGTGAGGAGAGAAATTCATGTTAGAATTATCAATTCAAATACTATGAGAGATAAAACAAGTTTGTAAAAGTACTGTATTTCTAGTCTGTCAGCTCTATGAAAATAATTACATTTCTTTTTAACCATTTTTCCCAAAATCTCAGGGAATGGGCAAGCAGAATTAATACATGGGAAAATCTTGGTTTGATTTGTTTGCTGTATAAACAACAGTTGTATAGGTGTTTTGATTGCAGAAAATGCATGAAATAATAGGAATTATTTGTTTTTCTTCAATTTGTATTTTTTTTAGTTCTCGACCCACCCCTAGAACTAGCACTGCAGTTCTGTCTTCAAATTCAGCACAGAGAGCTTATACAAGTCCTGCAGCAAAGGTGAGCGTAGGAAACCCCCACCCCTCACCAAAAAATGGAGTTCTGAAACTGCGTTAGCATGGTTAAATATGAGGCATATATGTGCATTGTTTTCCAAATAGGATATGCAGCTGTAAATAAGAGTGATTGGAATTTTGTAAGAAAGCATTCTTTCCATTGTGTATGTTGAGAGTCTGAAGTCTAACATTACTGTTAAGAAGCCTTTCAGAGATGCATGAAAAATGTTACTACTTTGAGGAATAGCAAGGATTTGTAAGTCTCTTCATACATATAAATACTTTTCTGCTTCTTTTGTAGTAAAACCCAGCATTGTTAGAAACAAGATTGAAAATTATCAAGATTAAAAGGGCACAATAAAACAGAGCTGATTTTTAAAATCAGCGAAATGCAGTCAGCAAAGCCAGGGAGAAAAGCCAGATATCTGGGAACTAAAAGAACGCAGGCAGTAAAGAATTTTACAGAATGGGAGGGGGATCATCAAGAAGGGTAACTTTCATGTGAATATTTATGGTTTCAGATCTTTCATGAATTAAGTGTCTTGTAATAATAGTAGACAATATGTATTATTTGCTTGTTCAGATAAAATAGGGGGAGAATAACAAATAGAAATGGTAAGTTTGCTTATATTACAGGATAAAAGTATGTACTGCAGCCAGCAATCTATGGAATCCAAAATGAAAGAACTGATCTATACAGAATCTGACCTTGCTGTGACTCCTATTATTGACAATCCCAAGGTACTACAGAAACTTCTTACCTACAAGTTCTCTAATATATTCAGAAACATTGTGTTACAATATGTTTTGCTATTTTTTCATAAGATTGAGAAATCATTAACTTCGAATACTCCCATCTAATGTCTAGTCCTGGTTTCTTCCATTCAGTGTGGAAATCACATTAGTGGTTGAGCAGTTTGTATAATATCACCTCACTTTAAGGAAAAGAGGTTTATTTTAAAGTTGTTTTAAACATATTCTGCAGAAAATATTATTTTGACAAATCCCTACTTTAGATACAACCAGAGTGGCAACCAGTTAACTAAAAGACATACTAATTCTTAAAGTTTTTTTGAATAGGTCTGTTGAATAGGTAAAGAGCCCAAGTAGAGGCTATTGAAGATATATATACAGTAGAGTCTCGCTTATCTGACATAAACGGGCCGGCAGAACGTCGGATAAGCGAAAATGTCAGATAACACACAGTAACGATTGAGTGCGGTAAAAAAAAAACCACGATCCACTGCACCTGTTGCAATACATTTTTGCATTGCGGCGCCACCATCAGGAGCAACAAGAAAGTACACTCACACTCGCAAACAAGCAGCACACTTTTCTTGTCACCAATTTATGTGTGTTGTGTTTTTTTAGGGGCGTCAGATAAGACAGAATGTTGGATAAGCGAAGGTCGGTTAAATGAGACTCTACTGTATATATATGTATATATTTACAGATGCAGATAGTCCTTGTGTTAGGACCACTTATTCAGTGACTGTTTAAAGTTATGATGGTGCTGAGTAAGGGAACTTATGACCGGACCTCTGAGTTCTGGCCATTGCAGGGTGCCTGCAGTCACATGATCACAATCCGTGTGCTCAGTGCCCAGCTTGTGATTACAATGTCGCAGTGAGCTGTGGTCATGTGATTGTGGTTTCCAAGTTCTGCCAGCTTCCCACAAGCAAAGTCAATGGGGAAGCTGGCAGAAAGTTGGAAATCACTCCTGCTCCCACTGCTTTTTCACTCCTATCATGTTCTGTAGCATCTGCCTGAGGCATCCACCTGCAGCATCTGCACACCCACCAGCCTGCTTCCTTGGGACTCCTGCCTCTTCCTGCTTAATGACCCACACAGTCCTGGGTTTACAATAGCAACCAGGACTGGCAGGATGCAGTCACGTGACATTACACTTTACGACTGCGTTGCTTAGCAACGGAAATTCTGGTCCCAAAGGCTGTTGTAATCCGAGAACTACCTGTGTCCAAAACACAGTCTTCTGGTATCAATGATATTGTAATGGATGGCATGAGCGGGGAAGATTCTGGAATAGAACTTCAATGTTGTCGGGTGGGGAGAGACATTCCAGGGCAAGCGCCTCCTCGGCCCTCAACAAGAGTGTGGGAAGATGAAGAGGATGAGGCTGGCCCCTCCCTAGAGTCTCACGGGGT